GGGCCAGGCGGGTATCAAAAGTGGCCGGGGCAGATTAAGACGTAAACCATCCGGGATTAGTGGCAGGAAAGGAAGCTTCTAAGGGGCGGATCTGTCCCGCCGGGGCCTAGTTTTTCAAGGCAAGCCAGAAATCAGCATTTGTAGCACACAATCTGACTGTGAAATGCACGAGAGCAATTGAAACGTTTAAAAGACATTGATTGCACGGGCCAGACATCATTTAAGGGGCCACCAGTTGGAGACCGTGGTCCTCGTGTCTGCAAGCCCCGTGTGCCCTCGGGGGCTGGGCGGTCCGATTCCTGGTGGGAAATGGGCTGGGGGCTGCAGAAGTGCCTGGGAGGTCCGGGCCTGCGTTGGGGCTCCGTGTTCCCAGCTAATCTGCTGTGTGGCCCTGGGCACGTCTCGGGCCTCTCTGATCTGTAGCACGGGGGCATCGTGACTAGGGGCGGGCGGGGCGGGCGCCACCTCACCCAGCTCCTCCTCCGTCATGGGCAGGAAGTGGTCCACCAGCTCCTCGGACTTCTCCAGCACCACGTCCACGGCGTGGCTCACGGAGCGCCTCAGCTCCACGCTCCAGCGCCGGCCCTGCCGCGCCAGGCCCACCACGCCTGTGACACCGCTGGCCACCGCGTCCTTGGCTGAGGTCACCACCTGGGGGGAGGGGCGCCCACTCTAGGTGCCACAGGGCCCCAGCTTCTCTCTCCCCACCAGGCTCCCTGGGGCTGGGGCGCTAAGACCCCTGGACTGCTTCCTGGCTCTGAGCCTCAGTTTCCCTTCTTTAAAATGATGGGGGAAGGTCACCCTTCCCTCACAGGGGTGGTTGAGGGGGTTACGGGTTACCAGCACCTACTGGCACAATCCATGTTGGTGGCCATTATTCTAAGCTGGCTGTTATTTACTTATGTGTTTTGAGACCGGGTCTTGCTGTCCCCCAGGCTGCGGTGCAGTGGCGTGATCACAGCTCACCGCAGCCTCCAACTCCTGGGCTCAAGCAGCCTCCTGGCTCAGCCTCCCGAGTAGCTGGGACTACAGGCGCCACCGTGCCCAGCTAACTTTTCTATTTTTTGTAGAGATGGGGTCTTGCTATGTTGCTCAGGCTGGGCTCAAACTCCTGGCCTCAAGCGATCCTCCCGCCTCGGCCTCCCAGAGTGCTGGGATGACAGGCGCGAGTCTATAATTGCCCGCGGTCTGGTCGCGCCAGGTACCGTGTCCGAGGGCTGCTGGAGGAAGGGCAGCTTCTCCTGCAGCTTGTCCAGGCCCCTGCAGGCGAGGTTGTTCACCGTGGCCACTGAGAGGAGGGAGGCAGACATTCAGAGGGAGACAGGGACACAGCGAGGGATGTAGAGGGAGGGCGTGCTAGATTGCGAGACGGAACAGCAAGGAAGAGAGGAGGCCACGCTCGGGCGCTGGACAGTCACCGCAGAGGCAGGCAGGCCTCCTGCGACCTCATATCTGGAGAGTCTAGTGAAGCCACAGACGCCCCCAGGGGCCTGGCAGCATGTGGCTCTCAACCTGCCAGGGGCTGGGGGCTCAGGGGGCGCCGCCAGGCTGCCTCCTCTGGTCCCAGTGCCAGGGTGACTCCTCAGCCCTGCCCGGCTTAGATGCCCCAGCGGGCAGGCTCAAGGTCACAGGAGCCGGCCACAGGGAGCTGGGGGAGGCGCTGGGGACAGGGAGGGACAGCGGGGAGGACCACCAGTAAACGGGTAAGGGCAGAAGGCGGGGTGATCAGAGTTAAGAGGGACATCACAGTCAAAGAGATCGAGGAGAGGTGGGGTGGGGACGGGATCGGCAGATGGGACAGGTGGACGGGCTGAGCAGGGACACCCAGTTCAGGAGGACGACCCCAGGCAGGCCACGCAGATGGACCAAGGGGCGGGGGCAGGGCAGCGGGGCAAACCACAGCCCCCGGGGGCCGGGGGGCACTCACGCTGGGGCTGCAGGCGGCGGAGCAGCGGCTGGGCGTGGTCCAGCGCCTGCGCGGTCAGGCCGCTCGCACAGTGCTCGGCCAGGCGGCAGGTGGAGCCCAGCAGCGGGTGCCTGTCCTTGGCCGCGCTGTAAGCAGCGAGGACCGCGGCACACGCGTCCCTGACCAGGGGCAGCGCCACCACGCGCCGCACCACGTTCTGCGGGAAGGGGTGACATCAGGGAAGGTGCGGGGCTCAAGCCACACCTGAGCCCGCTGCCCCTCTCTGGGCCAGGTGGGGCGTGGGGGAGGTCGCCGGAGAGTGTATTGAGCGCCTGACCAAGTACAGGCAGGGCAGACGGCCTCGGTGGCTCCCGGTCTCAGTGGCTACATGGACCGATACATGTTTATGCATTTTGAAATACAGCTGCCCCTCGGCATGGGGGGGCGGGGTCCAGGCCCTCGCTGCCCCCAGCACCCCAAATCTGCACGTCCTGCAGGACCTGCGTGTGAGAGGTTGGCCCTTTGTATATGCGGGTTTCTCATCCCACAAGTACTGTATTTTTCAATCCACGTCCGGTTGAAAACATTCTGTGTAGACGTGGACCTGTGCAGTTTAGACCCGTGCCGTTCAAGGGTCAGCTGCGATGCTCCTGTCCGGGGGAGCAGCCAGGGCAGTCTCCCTTGTTCGGGTCTGGTTCAGCCACCTCCGGGCTGTGTGAACCTGGGCAGGGGCCTTGGCTTCCCCGTCTATAAAGTGGGTTTCTGGGGTTGTGATGCGGATTCAAGGAGCCAATGGAAGGGGAACGCTTGAGTCTGAGGGATACAGAGTATCGCAGTGATTGCTGCTGTTACTAGTGTTGTTGCCGTTGTTGTTGTTGAGGGTGTCGCGATGGTGGACACAGAGAAAGGTGCAGGGGCAGACCAGGGATGGCGGAGGGAAAGGGCTGGTGTCCTTGGACAGACACCCCTCCCAGGGCCTCGTTACACCCCCCTGGGAAACAGCAGGTATGCCAGACCCCTCCGTGGTCCAAACTGTTCTCAGAATCCGGTTCACCCAGCAAGGATAGAGTGGGAGGGGACAGCTGGCCTGAAACTGTCCGAGAGGGGACTGTTCCTTCCTGCTCCCTTCCCCTCACCTGCTGGTCCTGCTCCTCCCCTGGGCTGGGGGCCTGAGCTGCCTCCTCTTCGGACATGTCTGCTGCAAACAGGGTCACCTGGGGGGCAGGGCAGAGTGAGGGGGCCCTGCACCACTCCAGCCCTCTGGGCTCACACCCAGGCCTTGCCCCTGCCTGGCTGGGCTCTGTGACTTGAGCAAGTCTCATTTCCTCTTGGGGCCTCAGTTTCTTCATCTTCAAAATGGGGTGATGTATGGGACAAGGACATTGCATACACAGTAGGTGTGCAGTAAAGAGCCCCTGGCAAGGACTCAGAGCATGGGCTTTGGGGTAAGAAAGACGTGGGTGCGAATCCTGCTGTTACCTGCTGTGTGACTTCGGGCCAGCACCTTCACCTCTCTGGTCTGTTTCCTCTTTTGTGAAATGGGGGAGATCCCTGATGCCCCTGCCTGGGGCCCAGAACTGCACAAGCAGCCCCACGCAGGGGTAGAGGTGCTAGCCACAGAATCCTGATGGGCCCCACAGTTCGTCTGACACATGGGGAAACTGAGGAACGCAGGAGGTGCATGCTACACCCAAGGTCACTCCGCTGGCTAGGGTTAGAGCCGGGAGCTTGACCTCAGGCCTCGGACTAGCAGCATTTGTTTCTTCCCCCAGTTGCCACCCGGCGCCCTCTGAGCCCTGGTCCCCGCCCAACTGGGTCCTGAGCTTGGGCCAACTGAGCCAAGGGTCGCAGCCACCTGCTCGGGCCTGTCGTGCCCCTCCCGCGCCGCCAGACCCTCGCTCCGCCACCCGAACGGGAGCTTTCCCCCACCCGGAGCCCGAGCCCGGGGCGCTCCTGCGCCCGCAGGACACTCACCTGGGCGCGCGCGGCTCCGGACGCAGGTGCCTCCGCGGACCCCGGTGCCTCCGCGGACCCCAGACTCCGCTCAAGTCTCCGCCCCCGCTGGCCCCGCCCGCTTTATACCGCCTAGGGGGCGGGGCCTCCGGGGAATCACCAATGGGGAGAGGCCGTTCGGGGGCGTGCCCAGGGGGCGTGGCTCCAGGCTCCCTTCGCCCTCCCCTTGGACCCGCCTAGCACTCTGCGGTTGCCATAGCAATGCTGGACCGCCAGATGCCAACCATTAGGCTACTTTCCTTGGCCAGGTTAGGCCACCTGTCCCCCTCACTGCTATTGCCGTGGAGACAGTGGAGGGCAATCACAGCCCCCACCGACTTGCTGAGTGACCTTGGCAAAGTCCCCAATGACTTTCTTTGTTTTTATTTATTTTTTAAAAATGTTTTTCTTAACTTAAGCCAGAAGCTAAGTCAGCCCTTTTGCTCGGATGCCCATTTTACAGACAGGCAAACTGAGGCTCAGAAAGCTTAAACCACTTGCCCCAGGTACCATAGTGAGCAAGGGATCGTATTCAAACCCAGCTCTGCTAGAAAGTCCCCCTGGAAGGGGGGCATGACCCGCCTTCCAGGGGGCTGCAAAAACTGGCCGTGCACCCCAACACCCCAGGATCCCCAAATCTGACTGTAGCCCCCACCTGCCTATGTCTGCAGGTGGCTCTGGGATCTGAGTGGTGAGAACACAGCCCTTGGGCTCTTGCCTGTCCCTTCAGCCCCACCCAGCTCCCTCAGGCCTGTCCCAGGCAGGTGCCCCTTTGGAATGTCACAGGCCAGCGTGACGAATTGTTTGGGCACTTGGGCAATCCGGTTTAATTTAACCCTTGCCCGGGTCACCAGCCCTGGCAGAAATCCACCGGTAAAACGACACCCGAGCAATGGGCAGTTTTATTTCCAGTTAATTCCTGGGCAGGGGGAGGGAGAAGAGAAGCCACACAGGGCATTGATTCCAATGGCCATGCACTAGGGAGCCCTCGTCCCACACCCCAGGGCCGGGGCCGTGCCTCTTCTTTCCTCCTCCGTCACCCTGGAGTCGCAGCAGGTCGACTCTGGAGATGCAAGGGACACAAAAATGCTGATTCAGCCAGTTCAGTTTGCAGGTTATTTATTGAAGCCCTCAGGTGGCCAAGTGGGACTCAAGCCCAGACCCTGTACTTCGGGAACCCCCTACACTGGGGACGCCACAGAAAAACAACCCCAGGGGGGCCAGGGCTGGCCCAGAGGGAGGGACGGGGGGCTGGGGGAACCCAGAGACCAAGAGATCTGGGACACGGGCGAGGGCATTCCTGGAAGCGGGCACAGCTTGGGCACAGGCAGGGTGTCCCGAAGGCCACGGCCTGAGACAGGGCCATGGAGAGCTTTGAGTCTCACCAGGAGCTGGGATTATTTGCTAAGTGGGGTGCGGTGTCCTGCCAGGGCCCCCCACTCCAGCCGCCCCACCCCGCCCCGGCCTCACTGGGCCCCGGCCACTGCCAGGAGCGTCTGGCCCTTCGCGGCCTCAGGCCCGGCGCAGCGCGTGTCATCCTGCGAGAACATCTTGTCTTTTGTGGCCTGGAGCCAGCGATAGAGGTCGTTGAGCTTCTGGTCGCAGACCCAGGGGTTCCTGGAGATGTCGAAGCCGTCCTGCATGTCCCGGCCGCGCTGCGCCAGGGGTGCCCACAGCCCCTCGGGCACGCTGGCCAGCGAGTTATTGGAAAGATCCAGCATGTCCAGCCGGCGCAGGCCTCGGAAGGCGCCTGCCTCGACCTCGGCCAGCTGGTTGTCGTTCAGGAAAAGGAGGCGCAGGTCCGGCTGCGGCCCGAGCAGCTCCTTGGCCAGCACCCGCAGCCGGTTGCCCTCCAGGTGCAGCCGCTCCAGCCGCAGCGGGCCCCGCAGGAGGCCGGGCGGCAGGGCCTCCAGCCGGTTCCCCCCAAGGTCGAGGGTGCGCAGGCGCGTGAGGTTGGCCAGCAGTCCGGCCGGCAGTTCCCGCAGGCGGTTCCCGGACAGGTCCAGGAACTCCAGCGCTTTGAGGCCGTGCAGCCACGAGGCTTCCAGAACCTCCAGCCGGTTTTCCTTCAACACCAGGGTCTCCAGGGCGGCCGAGGCCCGGAGCAGGCCCGGCGGCAGCCCGGCCAGCGCGTTGCGGGTCAGGTCGAGCACCCGCAGCCCTGGCGCGGGAAGCAGGAACTCGGCCGCCAGGCCCTCCAGCCGGTTGCTGGAGAGGTGCAGTTCCTGGAGTTTAGAGGCGCCCTGCAAGATGTCGGGGGGCAGCTGCGTCAGGTTGAAGAACTCCACGACCAGGTGGAAGGTGTCGGCCGGCAGGGAGCGGGGGACTTGGGCAGGCGGGTGGCAGGAGATGGAACTGCCTTTCTCTGACTGGAACACCACGCAGCCTTTGGGGGTTGGGGTGACTCCCCGGGCCGAGGCCAGAGACAGCAGCAGCAAGAACAGGGTCCTAGGAAGATGGGGATCAAACCCCCCTGGGCTGCAGGTGATGACAGCAGGGGCTTAATAAGCCAAAGTGAAAATGTACCCAGCTAGGCGAAATATGCCCAAATCAGCACACCTTTTCCACCTCCACTGCCACCGCCCTGGACTGGGCCACCTTGTTACTTACCTGGACTAGTGTAGCCACTTCCTCTTCCTCGCCCGGCTTCCCTCTTACCCCCATAGCTGCCAGATGTGAGCATTCTAATTCCCTTAAATTGAGTTCCTGATCTACATCCTACCCTTCCCCCTCACTAGCCCAGCCCTGATGGGCTATTAATTATTCACAGTTCTACCCTTAACACTTGTATACCCCCATAATACGCTAAAATAAAAAGAAATTATTCACAGTCCAACTTGCTTAGTTTCTTCTGCTCTGTTATGTTTTCTGGGGCAGTTCTTGTATTCCTGGCCTGTGTTTGAAGGCAGAGCCAGTGAACTCCTACTCATCCTGTGAAGCCCCAGCTCCCATGCCCCTTTTCCATGAAGCCTTCTCTTGCCCTTTCCAAGAAGTGCTCTTAGCCGCCAGAGAGGAGTCTCAGGCCCTGAGCACACAGTGTTAGGTTGTCTGTGTCCAGTGCCATCTTCCTGCAAGCACTCGGGTGCGAGCCAGGGTACCAGGCACCAGCAAGAGATTCTGAACATGAAAAGCGTGCCCTGATTTGGGCAGGTCTGAGTGCCGGCATTTGGCCCTGGGAAGGGGGTGGTTTACAGTTGTCACTGTAAAATGCACCTGGTCTCGTCTGATCTCGGAAGCTAAGCAGGGTCGGGCCTGGTTAGCGCTTGGATGGGAGACAGTTGTCACCGTAACCCCTGAAGGCTTCTCTTTCTCCTTCACGGCTTCCCTGGCCTGGCAACATGAGATATCACCTGGCAAACCTGGGTCACTGGGGCCTCGGGCCTCTGACAGGTGTCTCCTCCCACGCCCTGCCCGGCCCGTGGCCCACCTGGGCTCCTGCAGGTGTGTCTGTGTGTGTAGGATCGAGTCTGTCCGTCCGGGGTTAGGGTTGCTCTGTTCCAGCCTGCAGGACTGTATCTGTCCCCTGTCACGGTAGTGGGTCAGGTGCAGTGTCCATGTACCTCCTGCCTTGCCCGGTGTCCAGGGCTGCCCAGGACAGAGAGAGCGGGGACCTACCTCTGGTATCGTTGTCTGCTCCAAAAGGACATGGTGGCCCCCTTCGTTTCCTTCTAGGCTCTGTTGGCCTGGGGAAGTGGCCTTATACCTGCCCGGGCTGGGATCAGGAGACCAGACCCTGGGGAAGTCCCCACCCTCGGCCAGTTCCTGATAGGGGCTGACCCGGAGCGGAGCAGGGCAGGGAGCGGGAGGGGTTAGAATTGCAAAATTGCTTCCTGGCAATTTGTTCCTGCCCAGCCCCTTCCTGGCCCCACGTTTACAGCCCAGTTTTCCTTCCCTTGCTTCCTGTTTCTTGGGGGGCGCTCAAGAGTCTCTCTAGCTGTGACCCCACTTCCCCCAACCCAGGATTCAAGGGTCAAGGTTGCAAGGCACCAATCCTGGGGGATGGATAGCTCTTTGAGTAAGAGGCACTGCTTACCATAAACTAGAACAACTAGAACAACCAGGAAACTCATTGAAAAGAACAAAAGGCTCTTGTATTCAATTCATGGCATGTTGTTATTGCTTTTTTGTTTTGTTTTGTTTTTTTGAGATAGACTCTTGCTCCGTCACCCCAGCTACAGTGCAGTGGTGTCATCATAGCTCACTGTAGCCTCCAACTCCTGGGTTCAAGCAGTCCTCTTGCCTCAGCCTCCCCAGTAGCTGGGACTACAAGCATGTATCACTTGCCCCAGCTACTTTAAAATTTTTTCATAGAGATGGGGTCTTGCTGTGTTGCCCCGGCTGGTCTGGAATTTCAGGCCTCAAGCGATCCTCCTGCCTTGGTCTCCCAAAGTGCGGGGATTACAAGCCTGAGCCTCTGCGATCTTGCTTTTTCTTGTGCAACTAGCTCAAATCAAGGTCTCGCTTTGCTTGCCTATTGTTGGTCCCTGCCCCCACGCCCCAGGCTCTGAACTTCCACAAGAGCGGGAGTCTCTGTCCCCACACAGTGCCGGCCGCATGGCAGGTACACATTAAGTATTTGCTGCAGAAACAGACTGTCCTCCATCCAGATGAGGGGCCCCAGGTTTCTGTCTTGCCCTGCCAACTGCCCCGCCCCCACCCAGGAGACAGAGCGAGCCGGAGCCATGGGGGCCGGTGGTTGTAAACAGAGTTTATTGACGGGGAGGGGCTGGGAGGCAAGCTCCAGCAGGGTCCAGGACTTGGCTGGCCACGTGGCATGCATGGTCACCCGGAGGTCAAAGGGGGGAGGTCACAAGAGGACACGTGATATGGGACTCTCTGACCACCCCGGGCCTTATTTACACGGGGGGCCTGCCCGCCTCCACCTCCCCTCAGGCCTCCCTGAGCCCTTTAGACAGCCTTCGCCGCTGTGACTTGTGGGCAGGCTCTCCCCACTCCCTGCCTGGAACCCCGGCATGGCCCCCTCCCTCTGCGGAGGCGGGGGTTCAGACTCCCAACCGGCACGCGGAGGCCCTCGGCCTTGTGGAAGCCCCAGTGTCGGCTCAGCCAATGCCCAGGCCGCTGGGACCGCCGCCACGCTCGCACTGCGACACACACACACCACACGTGGCCCACGCGACGCACACGCCCACAGCAGCCCTGCAGGCACGCACACGCACGCCCCC